TCTACAAAGAAACCTTTATAAAAACAGTGTTTAACATTATATATTAAGTTTCTTTGGCATGCTACATGTGATGGTGGTTGGACTCTCTGACAAATTGCTGCAGACTTGAAATGCTCCCCAAACATTGTCAAGTACACCCTAGATCGTGAGAACGAGACAGGTAAATTTGAAAATAGGAAAGGAAGAGGCAGAACACCTAAACTCAATGATACTGATATTAAGTATCTTCGTTTATGCAGCCTATGGGACAAAAGGAAGACTGCCACTGATTTGAAGCATAAGATAAACGACCATGTACCAAATGACAGAAAAGTGTCCAGATCTACAGTATCAAGACGACTTCATGAAAATGGAATATTTGGTGATGTAGCTGTTAAAAAACCTTTACTTTGATCTCCAAATATTATCAAGAGACTGAAATTTACTAAAAAGTACAAAAACTGGACTGTTGATGATAGTAAAATGGTGTTAGGAACATATTAGTCCAAGTTTCAAATATTTGGTTCAAAGTGTAGGTTGTATGGGGGAAGCAGTGTGATGGTTTGGGGTGTTTTTTTGCTGAGGTGACAGGAGATATTTGCAAAATAGGTGGAATAATAGACTAGCACAAGTACCATCAGATACTGATCCATCGTGGTTTGCTTATTATTGGTAAAGGATTTTACTAACAAGAAGATAATGACCCCAAACACTCTTCCAACCTGCTGGAATCTTTCAAATGATGCAATGGCCCCCTACAGAGCCCCAATCTCAACCCAGTTGAGCAGATCTGGGATTTGATAGTTCAAAAACTTGACAAATCAAAAGTTATTTCTCAAAAACTTTATGGGAGTTTATTGGAGACATTTGTAGTAAAATCCAAAAGGACACTTTGATTAAATATGCTGCAACAATGCCTAAAAGACTGTCTACAGTTATTAAAGCAGAAGGGGGACACACAAAATATTAACTGTTTGCTAAACTCAAGCACTTTCACTGACTTTCTGTTGTACTAAATATGACGATTAATAAAATTTTGATGTTTCACCTGTGATTTATCTTCCATTGTTCTTTGAAAGTAGCCTGAAATCTAATTTTTGACTTTGTCCTAACACTTTTGCACAGTACTGTAACTCACAATAAAAATACTTATTATTGACTGACAAGCTGCTGCCTCTCTTGCTCCAGCAATTTTGTCAATCAAGAACAAGTATTTTTATTGTAAGTTAAAGTATGAAATTCTTCCTTTTATCTTAAAGTTTCCATAATAGTAGCCTAAAACAATAAGAAAAATACATGTCAAAAGTATTAAATCCTTCACATTCAGGCTAACACCTCTGACATGACAGAAGGGTCCTTTCAAATTAAAGAGATCTAGGTTTACATATAAACCTCAGAAATTACCCCCAAACTGTAATAAAACATTAAAATCTCCAAAAAAAATAAAATCCATATAATAGTTTTTTAAAAGCAACTACAAATTTGGGATTATACATTCACAGCAATAATGTTTACTTTATTAGCTAACAGTAAATCATTTTAACAATTTTCATGATCAAATTTTACCTGTATTTTGTTTTTTCTGCCTACTGTATTTCTGAGATTTAGGTCCTTTTCCATTACAGATATAATCATTCCTAACATTATTATGGTGATATCCCTTTCGTTTTTTACTCTTTTTATCATTCAGGATATGTCTAATCTGCATGCGAGTTTTGTGGTGGAAAGGAGGATGTGGAGTAGTCTCATCTATTACATCACGACTGTACCGATGCAACTACGAAATAAAATAAACTAGCATGAACTTGTTTTTCAATTCAAAATGAGAATATTATTTTGCCACTTTCATAGAATATAGTTTGATTATCATAATGTATTTTACAAAGTAATTATTGATAAGATGAAATGTACAGATTTTCTTAAGGATATTTGTAGTTCTTTCTATTCATTCACAGTAATTCAAAGAAATAAATTACAAACTAAAATTTCTATGAACAATTTTTAAAAGTTATATTTGTTTCACTATAAAATAAGGCAGAGTTTGTTTTGTGTATTTCAGTAACTTAATTAAAACATTATCTATAAATGAAAATATTTCATGTTAGACAGTGTATTCTTAATAATTTAAGGCTAATCCTAATGTTGTTTGATAACTTAAACTTTCCATTGAATCTTTTTTTTTTTACTACAAATGATTTGTGAGAAAAGGCCTCATAGCATATTAAGAAAATGTACACATTGATTATACTAAATACATTTCTAATAATAGTTCTTAAATCTACCAGAACAGCTTTCTCTTATCTATTACAAACAAATAGTTATTTCAAAACAGTATCAATTATAAACAAGACATATTTTCAACCTAGCTACTTGTAGTTGACATTGTGCTAGCAATGATGGGACAATCTTGCAAGTTTACTGAATCCTACATGCTTAGTTAAACAGTGACTTACATCCAATCATGAAGTAGTCTGTTTTTTTCCCTGCTAGACTCGAGTCTTTTCATCTTTAGCTTTACAATTCAATACTACAGATATCTCTCTTTAAAATGCTAAATTCTGTGCCTGGCATGCTTTCATGACTGTGTCAAAAATTTCTGTAATGTAACCATCTTAGAAGAGATCAATTTTAAGTGAAATCTGTATCTCCAAGTCACCCACATTTTAAATGAATTGCAGCAAGAAAATCAGGGCTTTTAACATGTTTAGTCACCATCCATTGAGGATGGCAGGTCAAAAATAGAAGTAACAAAAGTTCTAATAAACTAAGAAACTATTAAGATATACAGATTGCTTGACAAATCTGATTAAGCATTACAAATTCAAGTCATCAGAAGTGTTTAATAGGTAGTTAGGCTAAACTTTACAACATTATCTATTATACAAATACATATCAGTATATTTTTATTTTAATTCACTATTATCTGTTGATAAATAAGTTACAAGGAAAAATCTTAGAATTGAAAATACTGTTGCGTCAGCGAGGTCACGTGACTGGTGTCACGCCAATGTTTCTAGAAATATCTTGTTCCTTCGTAAATGCCCTACCATTTACTAGATATAGGGTAGTCTGGTATATATAAGATGGTCACAACGTGAAGGGACAATGTGTGTAGGTAATGAGTAATTGAACTGCAGTCAGAAAGTATTGTTGAAGTTAACGCCGTTATTATAGTTTGTTATAGCGCGACTGTTGAAGTTGAGTGTATCGTAAAGTTGTATTCGGAAAGAATAAACCAGTTTTATTAAGAAAGGACTTGTGTCGCTAAAGTTTCGTCGGAACGAAGTTACGGAAAATCAACTAAGGAACGGAGACGTAATAAATTGGTATCAGAGAGTGGGACAAAAAAAAAAATGGAAACGAGAAGCGGCAAATCAAACTACAGCATAGCAGACTTGATGGCAGCAATTCCAGAACAGCAAAAGAAACAAGAAGAATGAGAAGAGAAATTACAACAGTTGTTAGAGGAAAAAGAAAG